GCCAGAGACACAGATATTTGTGGACCTCGAGTCCTCACATAAACAATGTGGTCCAAGAAATGATTAATCACAACTAACTGAGTATTATTCTACCTTGTTTCACCCAACATTTTGGAGAGTAATATTAAATTTAACTGCGACAAAACAAAAATAACAAATAGGGAGAAGAAAATACACATACCACATAGGACCAGCTAGAGAGAGAGAGTGGTGGGATTCACGCGAGAGTAGAACTTTTGACTAAATTTAGAAGAAGAAGGTGGGTTCCATGTGGTGGGGTGACGACAACTCAACGGAAGAATTTTGACAGAAAGAGGTTGAGGACACACATGGAGATGGGTGCCTGAGAATGGACATCGTACAAACAACCAATTCTGATACATCATAGTACGGTCATAGCTAGGTCACACTTCTCATCATTTCTATACAAATAATTAGACGACAAAAAAAAAGGTTCCCCAAAAAACACATTTATATATAATAATTAATGACAATTCTTTTGGTTAATTAATAGTGTTAATATTCGCAAAAATATATGATTTGCTTAGAAACCTAAGGATTTTGATAGTTTATTTTTGTATTTAGAAAGTTTCGAACAAAATCCAAGATAGATGCAAAAACATATATGACTATTTCTCATGTACACCACGACCACATTCGAATGCCAATATGATGAATCCGATCAGAGAGTACTAACTATATGTTTGGTAGTTTTAAACAATCTTTCCCAATTCCCACATCATCACATGTAATGTACTCAACATATAATTTTTTGTACATGGTAGAACTATATCTATATCAACAAGTTTTGTAAGTTTACGGAACACATAGTAATTTGTAAAGTGAAAGCATTAAGGTGAATGGAAAAATTTTCGCACACAAGATCTCGATATAATATACATTTTCGATTAATATGATACCAATGAAGAGCTGATGAATTAACAAGCATAAATTAGACACAAATAGTCTCGTGTCTCCAATCTAAATGAAAAAAGAATCTTTAGTTGTAAAAATCAGAAGTAGGATAAATCTTTATTTAATAAAACGGCTTCATGGTTCACATCTCATGCTCCGAGAGTTGGAACACGTTATTCACTCATATGGTAACAACATTGATTAGTAACGTTAAAAATGAAATAATATAATATTGAGGAAGCCAACAAATTCTCTAGCTACTTCCACATTCTTTTCTATAAATAGAGAGATAAGATGCTTGGCTTTTCCTTTATCTCCACTCTTTATCTCTCTTTTCTTTCTCCTCACTTTATCACAATCTCACTCTTTTCTACATTTCAAAGAAGTTTCTCAATTAGTGGAGATGGATTATTCTTCGATGCATCAGGTACTAATCAACCTCACATTTTTAATAATTATTTCGTTAGAGAATTTGGTTTTAATGTTCATTTAAATTTGTTTTTTTTATAGAATGTGGTGGGAGTATCTTCATGTTCATCACAAGATTATCAGAACCAGAAGAAACAACCGTCGGCGACTAGGCCAGCTCCACCGGAGCAATCACTAAGATGCCCTCGTTGTGACTCCACCAACACAAAGTTCTGCTACTACAACAACTACAGTCTCTCTCAGCCTCGCTACTTCTGCAAATCTTGTCGGAGATATTGGACTAAAGGTGGAATCTTAAGAAACATCCCAATTGGTGGTGCTTACCGGAAACACAAACGCTCCTCTTCCGCAAGTAAAAGCCTCAGGACAACCCCTGAACCGACGGCAAGCCATGACGCCAGAACATTCTCGACGGGGAGTTTAGGCGGTTATAATAATAACATTAGCAATGAACAGATGGAGCTTGGGTTAGCATTTGCCTTGTTGAACAAGCAACCTCTAGGGGTTTCTTCACATCTAGGGTTCGGAAGCTCTCAGTCTCCGATGATCATGGATGGCGTGTATGGGACCACGAGCCAGCAGATGGAGAACGTGGGGTATGCGTTTGGGAATGGTGGAGGCGGTTTGGAGCAGATGGCGACAAGTGATCCAAACAAGGTCTTGTGGGGATACCCCTGGCAGATGAACATTGGAGGAGGAAGTGGTCATGGTCATGGTCATGTTGATCAGATTGATTCAGGGAGAGAGATTTGGAGCAGTACCGTCAACTACATTAATACTGGTGCTTTATTGTAGTCTATTTATTTAAAATAAATTATTTTCAGTAATTTTGGGTTTGATTAGGGTTTGGATTCTGGTCTTCTTAAAGGGATTAAATGAGTTGGGGTTTATGGTGAAAGAAAATAGATATGTTGTGCTTTCTTTAAAGATTTTCACTTACTTAGAATATGAATTGTGTTTTTTTTTTTCTTTGGTTCTGACCTTTTTTGAGCTCCTTCTTTTTTAGTATTTCTTCTCTATGGCCCAAATGAATAATTTCCCTAAGTTTTCAAATTTAATAATTTATGTTTATTATATAAGACATTGTGAAAAAAAAGAAACTCGCTTATTAATCACTTACAAAAGTATGATTGGTGATGGATGGATTAATCTATATTTCTGATTGTAGGAATATAACGTTTGTTATTTCTAGCTATAATAATAAGGATAAGAGAATATCAACAATTCACTATACACCTTTTTTAGAAGAATAGAGCCAACGCTACCAAATTTCTTGGTTAAATTAAGTTTCATTGTAAGAACATTTATATAAGGCAAATACATGCAGTAGTAGATGAATAAATAAACCATAACATACAAGAGTAAAATATATAATATATCGCTTAAATTTTTGGGTTGTGTGTACAAAAAAAAAGTCTCCGATTCAAACTTCGGATTCTTTCGTATAAAACCCTTTTTTATCTTTACCATAACAAATGGACCAAAACAAAACAAAAATTGGACGAAAGTGAAAGCAATATTCTCTCGAAAGAAAACAAAAAAATGTTTGATTAACTTTTTATTTTTTTGGCAAATCAAATATATTGATATCAAAAAATGTTTACAAGATACATAATCATTTCTAAACAAATGTTTGATTAACTTGAATAAACGTTTTGGGTTTGTGAATTTCCTGAAGTTTCTTTTTTTTTTTAGTTAAATATTTACCGAAATTGCATTTGATGAATTTTTTTAAAAAAAAATTCAGTAGATGTAAGCCTTAAATTATAGGAAATCACAATGAAAAGTATATAGTATTATTTTATTTATTATATCAGCATGACGTACGTAACCAAATCCAATTCGAAGATTCTGGCGTGGCAAAATCCTCGTTAGAATTGAACAAACTGCCAAACTCTTTATTAAAATATGATTTGTTTTGAATCCCCAAAAAACGGTTTGATTTGATATGTTTTGGATTTTGTTGCTCTACTGTCTTTAGAGGCGATGGCTTTTCAAGAATAAAAATATTTAGAATGATTTGTGGTGGAAAATTCAGGAAATCTATTTGGACATTGAACAAATTTTTAGTTCAAGTTACTATACACATATTTTATTTTTTAGTTTCTAACGATCATAAAACGAAAAAACGAAATCTTTATTCAAATTAAAAGAGAAATACTTGTTTAAATCCGAATCATTACCAGAAAGTCCAAAAGACACTAAAAGTGAGTAAATAATAGTATTATTATCAATTTAACAAAAGAATCATGCATAAGATCATCAATTTAGTTTTTTAGGTTTGTTGTCGAGCTTAAGATCGATCAGTTTTATAATTATAAAGTCTTAAGCTTTATGTGAAGAACTTACGCAAATATACGAATTCAGATTCATGTATGGAAAACATCCCAGAAATCCATTATATGAAACATTCTAAAACCATTTTTCAAAAAAAAAAAATTCTCAAACTCGAGCATTAAACCCTTTTATAACTGTCTTTTTAGAAACTAGAAACAAAAAAAATATTTTTGCCGATGACAGAATAATCTAGACGTATCAATAAACCATATATGAAAGTTGACCAACTTCCTCCATCATTCTGCCACAGTGGCGATAGTGCCACATGTCACATCAATATATTATATTTATAATTTTATTTAATTTAATTAAGAATTTCAAAATCATATATAATAAATTATTTAAACTTAGTTGTATAAATTGTATAAACTTACACATACACATAAAATCAATGGAAGTTTAATTAAAATTTTTAATTTTAATAAAGTATATATATATTAAATAAGATGAGATTAGAATTTATTTCATGTTTTCATATACTATAGGATTAATGACAATGAATATTAGTTGAATTTACGGTTTATTTTAAGACAAATATATGATACTAAATCAACACTACTTTTTCGTTTATTTATAAATACTGTAAAGATATTTTTGTAGGGTAAATAATTGTAAATAAGTGTTAAATAATTTAATTAAAATAATAAACAAAAAATAGAATGAATTATTTACTCAAGAGTTAGAGAAATACATCAAATGATTATTATCAAATTAATTCAGTCGATGAAAATTATTATAATTAATAAATTATGGATGAAAAAACCGCACGTTGTGCGGGTATTGGCCTAGTACTAAAAAAACATCTAACACGCTTTATTGATATAAGTATATTTTAAGTAACATGCTATGATTATTTTCTTGACGTTCTATCATTTTAATTTCCCTTTTAATTGAAAGAAAATTCATTTCATTTGTATTCAATAACTATTAAATTTATTTTCACATAATAAAACTAAAATTCAGTTAATATTTATGAAACAAATCTATAAGAAGGTCATATGTAAGCTGTAAAAAAAAGGTCATATAACTTAACCTTTTACCAAAAAAAAAAGAAAGAAGTTCATATGTAGATGATTATAAAATCCATGTTAATTTGTGAGCTACATGTTGGATAGTTTGTTAAAGCCTCAAACCTTAAAATTCAAGATAATTTGGACTGTTTAGCGCGTTCTCCTAGACTTTTGTGTTATGAAATTGCTTTTGTAAACACTTTTCTTTCTAATTGGGCAATCAATCATGAAGTTATTTTCTAATTAATGTGTGGTTGACAAAAAAAAAAAAAAAAAAAAAAAAAAAATTCAAGATAAGACTCTAAGAGCATCTTTATCGGAAGTATCTTAGCAAAAATCTTAGGTTAGAATTAATTAAAATTAAATGATAAATCAGAGTTAAAGCTAAGAAACGTTGAAACGTTGCTTAGCTAAGGAACGTTACTTAAGCTAAGAGGGGAGACACGTGTAAAACAAAAGAAGAGAAATTTTTTTTTGCCCGTGTTTCTTTTTCTCTCTCTCTCTCCGACGGCAAAAAAACGAAGAGAAAATGCTTTCAAATCTTCGTCTCCGCCGTTAATTGTTACAGCCGGTGAATCGGAGGATGGCATCTTCATCATCTCAACCGACGGCGGCTCTCCACGGCGCCTCTGGTTCATCTAATCGGCGAAGGAAGGTTTTTAAATCGGAGAGTCATTTATGAAGTTCTCCGAGTTTTTTTTCAAGAAATCTGACAAAATCCGTAAGATTTCTCTTTCTCATAGTAGGAACCCCATTCTATAAATACTAATTGATGTAATTTGATTGGTATTTGAGTGATTTGAAATTAGGGTTCATAGATTTGGGAAATTTAAGATTTTTCGTAGTTAGTGAAATTAGGGTTATTTGAAGCATCTATCAGTGTGTTTTGAGTTTTTTGATTGCTATTTCGTAATATTTGAAGCAAAATCCGAAAGATTTGATTGCTATTTCAGTTTTTTAAAAATTGGATATATTGATTTACCCCAAGAGTTTGCTTGAAGAGATTGCACGGATCACTGCTAAGCATCCAAGACTTCTAGTATATAGCAATAAAACGTTCTTTGGTCTTTTTCAGTTTGTTTGTTTTTGCTGAACTGTTTAAGCTGAAAATAACTCTGTTTCTTTCATTTATTTTATAGGTGCTTTCGGGTGAAATATGTGAACACATTATTTATGCACCGGCAACACACACAAGCTTTGCTTCTTTGCCAGACATGTATGAAAGAACTTTGACAGTAAACGGTTTCTCAAAGATAAAGTTTTTATTATTGAGCTGGCTTCTAATGTCGACCGATCGAATTCTTTTCTGATTGTATATCATGTAAAAGGCTTTTGCAATGACGGGTTGGAGGCTTGGTTATCTTGCTGGTCCTAAACATATTGTGGCAGCTTGCAGTAAATTACAAGGCCAGGTATCTACGTATAAACATATTTCTCTCCAAATCTTTATCGAAAAATGCAGTGATCATTATATGAAATCGGTTCTGGTTTTTGTTTAAAGGTTACTTCAGGAGCTAGTAGCATTGCTCAGAAAGCGCATGTGTTGCTGCACTTGGGTTAGGCAAAGCTGGAGGAGATACAATTGCAGAGATGGTTAAAGCATATAGGGAAAGACGAGATTTCTTGATTAAAACTTCTATATGTTGTAACTTCTATATCAGCTTTGTCTCCATTCCAATAAAAAGCTCTCTCTTTATACTTTGTTTTTTTTCCTTCAAGTTCGTGTAACCAAACCAACAAAAAACCATTCTCTTCATTGTAAATAATTTATTAGAATTTAAGGTTGCGTATAAGATCACGACAAAAGAAACATTTTCCCTATTTTTGCCCTCTCATTTTCTCTAAAATCACTAGCTTTTTACCTACAAAATTAAAATTTTAAACATAATTTTTTATAATACATTTGACGATTATTAAAAATCATCATACCGGATTCTGACATCCACCATGATCACATTCGTTTTCTTGAATCAAATTTGTAGTATGTGAATTATAAACTAATTAAACACTTATCCAATCAAATTTGTAAAGATGTCGAGCGTGTTTTTGGAGTTTTCCAGAAATTAAGTTTAAAACATTTGTGTTTTATGTTATTTATGTTATAAATTGTATTTCATGTATGTTTTAATTTTTTTAATTTGCAACAATTATTAAATTTTCTATAATTATAAATTTTATTTTTATATTAATATTTTTTTTCTAAGAACCATATGTTAAGAGTCTACCATTAATCACACAAAAATCTTAACTCAAAAATACTATCTCTTAACAATCATTTTTACAAATAAATTACTTAAATATTGCTAAGATTAATTTCTAAGAGAGCACCTATAATCATGCTCTAAGAATATGTTTTAGACTGTTGGTTATCAAAACTCATACAACTTCAATGATCAGTTTTTCTTTGGCCCACTGGGCCTTAACCCAAGGAAACAAGAGACGCAATAATCTTTCTGAACCGCTTAACCGGAACAGAAGTAATGACCCCATGATTGCAAGAAGTGATTTCGATTGCCTCACGGTTTGGTCCTATCAAATGACCAAAATTCAAAATGTTCAAACTACTAGTTTCTATACAGAACAAACTACGAACTTTTAAAGAAGTTTCCGAATCAACAGTACCGCTGAAGCAGAATCTAAGATGGACAGAAAAAAAAAAAAAAAACCGTTGTTCCAAAATTTGAGGGATCATTGATTAACTGAAAAGTTTAGATGATATTATGTCAAGAAGCGTAAGAATTTTCAGTCTGTTCTATTTATGAAGAGAAATCAAATTCTGTCTCCGTTTTGGTCATATCTAAATAAAACTCTTAATTAGATATCTCATTACCTATTTAATAAAGCTATGTTGTGTATGAATTAGTAAAATAGAAATTTTATATCGTATTAGTATATGGAAATGTGTGTATATTATTAATAGTATAATATAATCAGTTGGGTCGGTGTAGGGATTTATTCAATTGATTTCTTTAAGAGGTATGGACGTTATGACATCCAGCTTTTGTATGTGTTCCATGCAAATTGATTTGAAACGAATAATTTACAAAGACTGGAAAAAAGGGAATCGATTCCTTGTATTGTCCCATTATTCCCCTACACGTAGCATTATAAATTGTATTGTAGTACATTTATTTTCTTTGAATAAGCCAGGTAGTTATGGCTTATGATTTATGAAGCACCTCTCATCTGTATTAATAATCTAATTAGACGACATAATATAGTATAACATATCGTCTTAGAGATTGGATATGAAGTAACTCAATCCGTTGGAGCATTTAATATTTAATTAAAAGTCCCTTGGAGTATCTTACAAAATTATGACTTTTCATAACAAAATTGGTTGTGCGATACAATGAACTGATGCATGTCATGGTCAAAAAAGACATCTGCGCCATCTTGATGATATTTAGTTGTTCTAGCTCAAAATATGTAGAAAATATTAGCACACCAACCCAAGTGTGAATATGACTTCATCAGCATACGTAAACTTTTCAAAAACATGAATATGTCGATTAATTCAGTAATTACAAATATAAAATCTTCAAAAATATCACTGAGCTACCGACAGTGGTCACTAAAAATATGTGGATCTAAAACGTTCAAAACCTAATCCTATCTTACGTAACTTTCAAAACCTAATTATTACGTAAAAACTTATCACTTCTAACTTTATATATATATGTAGCTTAGATATCAATATCATAAAGATCGTTTATTTTTGTCATAATGGCCTTTAAAATTATAAAGGGTTAAAATGGTAACCACTTATCAAAGCTTTACACCCTGTACAGCTTTGACAGTTACTAATCACAAAATTTTTATCAAAAACGTTATTAAAAATTTTACTCTCAGTTTTTTGTATAGCTTTCTCATACAGCTCTTTCTTACAGCTTTGCACTATTCCGATAAAACTAACAGCTCCAGCTAATAACTAAAAATTTTGTACAGCTTTTGGTTACCAATCGGACCCAAAATCAAATATCTGCGTCACGACAAAAGAAGAAACAAAATTTTCTTATTTTTCTTGGTAAACATCAATAATATTAGTATATCAAATGACAATTACGCACTACCCAATAGCAAAAATAAACTCTACTGACACGTGTCCAAGCATGTGCAGAGATATGTAAACCCATTTATGTCTTCATCATCTTCAACATCACCTCTTCTTTAACTTCTCTGCATTTCAGTCTTTTTGCACAAGAAACAAAGCTCAAGAAAACCTCAAAACCCTAAATCTAAGAATCATCAAAGCTATGAGAACAAGCAACCATCTAATAGGTTTAGTCAACTTCCTCACTTTCCTCCTCTCAATCCCAATCCTCGGCGGTGGAATATGGTTAAGCAGCCGAGCTAACTCCACCGACTGTTTAAGATTCCTCCAGTGGCCTCTCATCGTCATCGGAATCTCAATCATGGTCGTATCTTTAGCCGGATTCGCTGGAGCTTGTTACCGTAACAAGTTCCTTATGTGGCTATACCTAGTTGCCATGCTTCTTATCATCGCCGCTCTCATCGGTTTCATCATCTTCGCTTACGCGGTTACCGATAAAGGATCCGGTCGAACCGTTCTTAACCGGGGTTATCTTGACTACTATCTTCAAGATTACTCTGGTTGGTTGAAAGATCGAGTCTCTGATGATAGTTATTGGGGTAAAATAAGTTCTTGTCTTAGAGATTCTGGTGCTTGTAGGAAGATTGGAAGGAATTTTAATGGTGTCCCTGAAACTGCTGATATGTTCTTCCTTAGAAGACTTAGCCCTGTTGAGGTAACTTTCTATAATTGTTTTTTCTCTTTGTTGTTACCTTTTTTCTTCTGGTTGATTTAGAATCAAATCTAGTGATGTTCTTTGTTTAATCTTAGATTCTAGGATATTCAGATTCATAAATTTTTAGAAAAGTTTCTTGATATTAGTTTTTTTTTTTTTTTTTTTTTTTTGGGACATGCTTTAAATTTTATTTTCTTGAAATAACAATTTAGGTCCTCCATGTGTTTATGACCCATATGATGATGAGAATCTCAATTATTGAAAAGATAATTATTATCTTTTTTTTCCAAGTGAAGAAACTTTGTGTTCAACTTTTTTTATAATTAACTTAGTTGACTATGAGTATTGAGTATAGATCTGATTCAGCTTTGCCTTAAGCTTACTCCAGCAAAAAAATAAAATAATAAAATGTATGAAATTTTATTTTATTAGTTTATTCGACTTGATTGATTGTTGTGAAGAAGCCATAAATGAAACAATTTTGACCATGTAAATAAGGTATGATTCCTTGAACAATGATTGTCTAGGCTTTGAATCTTATTTGCCAGAAATATTTCTGTAGTTTTTCTGGCCTCTGCAGTTTTGTTCTCATATGTTAAAATCTATTATTAGCTTTTGGAGCGACCCAAAAAGTTGTATACTTTTTGGAAAAATAATTAGTGCTTTGTTTTATATTTTTGAATTTTTCTATTAAAGTAGACATATTCATGCTCAAATTCCTAGCTTTACACGTGAGTAACCAAAAATATGATGAAGATGCATGTAACGTTCGAAAGTGTAGTTGTTCAAGTCCTTGTTTTGTAACAAAATCTTGAAAATCTAGAATGCTCTGTTTTGTTTGTTTTTCTCGTGAAAGATTCTTTGGCTATTTATATTTTGGATTTGAATATTAGATGTATGAGCCTAATATTGCGGTTTATGATATATAATAATTGTTAAAGTGTTTAGTGTCTCTTTGCTTCACATGCTTATGAAATGTGATGAGTTAAAGAAAAAGAGTGATTAATATTGCGGTTTATGATATGTAATTGTTGTTTTTACTTTGCAGTCCGGATGTTGCAAGCCACCAACAGATTGTGGTTTTTCATATGTGAATGAAACCGGATGGGACACGAGAGGAGGGATGATAGGACCGAACCAGGACTGTATGGTGTGGAGCAATGACCAGAGCATGCTCTGTTATCAGTGTAGTTCTTGTAAAGCTGGTGTTCTTGGGAGCTTGAAGAAGAGCTGGAGAAAAGTATCGGTGATTAACATCGTGGTACTTATCATTCTCGTTATCTTCTATGTTATCGCTTATGCGGCTTATAGGAATGTCAAGAGGATTGATAACGATGAGCCTGTTGGTGAAGCTAGGATGACAAAATCACATCCTAGTCATTTCCATCTTTGATCAAAATTTGGTATAGTTCATTATGGAAGCTTTGATTTATGTTTTCACTGGCTTGTGATAAAGTTTTTAGTACTTTTGCGTTTGTTTTTGGTATGTAACACATTTTTTTGTGTGTATATTATATATGTTGGAATCAGAACCTAGTTCATTTTATCTTCCTCTAGAAATCAGCATTACAACACAACTTTATAAATTCGAAAATACAATTGTTAAAACGTAAGCTTAATCATGTTCTGGTTTTATCTTCACGGCTAAGTTCTGGACTCCATCTACGTATTGTTTGCTCTTCCACTATGTAGTCCTCTAAACACAAAGGCAGATTCATATTCTCTGTTTTGACTATTCCATTGACGTAAAGAACCAACAATGTTTTCGCTACGCTTCCGGTTAGCCGAACACTGCAATGAATATCCGACCATACCTTTAACCGATCAATCCCGCTAATGGACTGAACCAGGACGGCGTATTCAGAGTGGACAAGAGATGGATGATGTCTATACACCACGAAATCAACTCCATATTGTAACCCTGATCTCACAATCCAGTTCTTCGATCGTAGATGGGAATAAGCCTTGTAAGATATAGCAAAATTTGGCTTAAAGGAGCTCATGGATCTCCATAAATCTACCTCGTTTTCCAGGGAACAACCGTGAAGGGAGATCTTGACGCATTTCAGCTTGTAGAACAAAAAGAAAGCCTCTTCAAAGGATAATTGAATCCATCTCTTATCTTTCTCGACACTAACAACGGGTCTACCGAAACAACAACGGTCCAAAAGATCAGCTTGCTCTGGCTCAACCGATAGAAGTACGTTACAACTTGAGAGGAAACCGGAAGCCACAGTTTGAGCAAAAGAAGATTGGAGCTCTAAGACTGTTTCCGAAACAGGTTCCGCAAGCGCCTTTGCCTCAGCACCTTTCCATTTCCACCTTGGAGCCATATAGATGATTCTCTACACACACAGAACAAAAGATCAAACTTTCATAAATTTTCCAAACAAAAATAAGAATATTTGTTACGTTGAATTCATCATCAAAAGCTCAAGGTGTCCACAAAAATAGATTGTACTATGCTCAACACAAACATACAAAATCATACAAAACAACAACTCTCTCAGGCATTTTGTCAAACACCTTCCATTCACTATATAATATTTCACTCAAACTACAATTCAAATCAAATTTCCTTCGAAATATTTAACCAAACAAGTTTCCAGATCAATTTCAAGAAATTTCCATGGAAGAAGAAATACCTTTGATTCTCTCGTTGATTGCCAATTTGGTTACTTAATATCTGAAAAAAAATTATATGATTTCACCCGAGTTTATATATATACACACTGAGGACAATAGTGTCTTTTTCTATCATTTAAATTGTTTTTTTTTTTTTTTTTTTGTTGGAAGAGATAATCTGCGTCTTTGTCTCTATCGTTTTACACATAAACATGGCCAATGTTTTGAAGACGTACAAAAGCAAGAGAACTCTTTTTGGTTATCAAAAGCTTAAAAAACTCAGCACTGAAAAGTGCATATTAAGTGTTCGATAAATTGTCTAAGAGAACTTTTAAAGTACAGTATATGGAGGAGGAAAGTACTCTAGTACGAGCAGATGATCCAAAACCCCCAGGTGAAATCAAACTTGAATCGTATAGTCTTTACTTCAAGGGTTTGGTTAACGAGGAAACCGCGGAGTTATTGACGGGATTTGGAGTTGCGATTTGCGACAAAGATGATAATCTCTTGTTTCAGATGAAAGAACAATTTTCATGACTCTAGGGTTACACTTCTGGAGGTTGAGCTTATGGCATTAAAGCGTGGACTAACCGAAGCTGTGGGTTTGGGGATTGATCATATCTTAATTTACTGCGATCATTATCGGATTTTTGAATTGGTAAGTTTGTTACTTGATTGTTAAGGTACACATGTCCCTTTGCTTTAATCTTGTTATTGATGTTTTACCGTGAATGTTTTAGGTCATGGAGAGATCTGCGTCTGAGCAAGAGAACATCGCTTTGCTAATGGATGATGTGCAACGCATTAGACAACGATTGACGTTTAGCTTTCCTGTTCTGGTGACTAGGAATCAAATGAAATTTGTGTATGAACTTGCAATGGAAACAATAGTTTCTGAAATCAGCATACATATACCTGATCAGAAGAAGACTTGCAGTATTTGTTCCGATGATAACTTCGAACCTGAGCAGATGTTTTCTATTGATTTATGCGGTCATGAATTCTGTGTGGAGTGCATGAAACGACATATAGAAGTGAGGCTACTCGCGGGAGGTGTACCGAGATGTCCTCATTATCAATGCAGGTCTAAACTTACTCTTGGAAGCTGTGTCAATCTTTTGACATCTAAACTAAAAGCAATGTGGGAACGAATAATCGACGAGGAATCGATTCATGTGGCGGACAGAGTTTATTGTCCAAACCCGAGGTGCTCAGCCTTAATGTCGGTAACCAAGCTCTCAAACTCAAACTCTACTAAAGAAGATGTAACTATGAGAAGCTGTTTCAAATGCAGTGAACCCTTTTGTATCACCTGCAAAGTTCCGTGGCATAGCAACTTGTCGTGCAACGATTACAAGAGATTGGGTCCAAATCCTACAGCAGATGATATAAAGATGAAAGCTCTAGCAAATAAGAAAATGTGGCGTCAATGTGAAAATTGCCAACACATAATCGAACTTTCGGAAGGATGCATCCATGTAACTTGCAGGTATAACCTCTAATTACATTCCCTATAAACCAATATAGGAACCATAACATAGAGAGTACGGTTGCATTTCAATTTTACAATCCATTTTATTATTTTTGTGTGAACTTGATTATAACACTATGTTGCATTTCATGGTTGCTTGGTAGATGTGGGTACGAGTTTTGCTACAGATGTGGAGCCAAATGGATTAGGGGAAGAGTTTGCACTCATTCGCCACATACTCCTCCAACGACTAAGTCGACATGTCTTTGCATCTTCAGTTTTTTTGCCCTTTTGGTAGGTTTAGTTCTTTGGGAGGTTTATTGCTTTCGACGTATCCATTGAGCATGAAGAAGAGTTGGAGAAAAGTATCGGTGATCAACATCGTGGTACTTATCGTTCTTTTTATCTTCTACGTAATCGCTTCTGAGCCGGCAAGTGAAGCTAGGATGACAAAATCATATCTTAGTCATTTCCACATTTGATTAAAGTTAAGGTACGGTTCATTATATGAAAATATGATGAGATAAAAAAGATAAAAACTTTGATTTATGATAAAATTTGAACTTTTATTTTGCTTTTAGTGTTTTGTTTTTGATAGTCACTACATTTTTTTTTGTCGATTATTTAAGTGGCAAATAGAACCGAAAGCGTTACAACTCAAAACTTCATCTAAATTATTTATCAAAACTGGAAGCTGAGAATCCTAATACCAACAAATCATGTTCTGGTTTCATTTTCGCGATCAAGTTCTTGACTCCATCTACGTATTGTTTGCTCCTCCACAAGTCCTCAAAACACAAAGGCAGATTCATATCATCTCTTTTCACTTGACCATTGATGTAAAGAACCAAGAATGTTTGTGCGACGCTTCCAGTTAGCCGAACACCGCAATGGGACCATGTAACACCCGCGTCCCGCGATCCTAAAGGGGGCCGGTTTGTTTTAGGGAAAACTAGATCATAGTCGAGAAAGACTTATGAACTAGTTAACCCAAGGAACGAAAGAAACGTTTAAGTCAGGAAATGGTAGATGACTTAGACGGTTTCGGGATAATCTAGTGATCATGGAGAAATGATCATGGAAAGATGCGTAGTCAAGGCCGAGAAAACGGACCGAAAGACTTAGCCGGAAAGAACGTGAAAGAACGTTCTAGCTAAACCAGCTAGGTGAGCTGAACATGCTGGATGAACTAGCTAGCTCAGCTAGGTGAGCTAAACCAGCTGGAGGACTAGCTAGCTCAGCTAGGTGAGCTGGCCGGCAGCTCAACCGAGCTCGGTGAACTGATCGAGTATTGACCCAGCTAGGTGGTCCGGTCAGCTAACACTCGAGCTGGTGGACTGGTAGCTCGGGATAAAGAGGTGTAAAGGGTGGATAAGGCCGAATGGTTACGATCGGAAAGATGCAACCTTTCGAAAGGGTGCAACGAACGGATGTGTTGTTTTGGAAGGACCCATTCGTCCCCTATATAAGGGAGAACGTCCAAGGGCCTCACAATCATCCTCACACACTTCACAATCACAAACACAATCCGAAAATAGTCCTAAACACGCCACGAAGTTGTTGGTCGGAAAGGGGGTGCGGCTCGGCGAGTATCTCCAGAATCGGAACGGATTCTCGGAGCATCGACCGAACTAATGCGCATGCTACCTCCCAATCCAACGGTTCGATGGAATGTTTGGATGGATTGATCGGACCGATCGTCGGAGAGATGGATCGGAACGGATGGATCGTTCGTCATAGAGATGGGACGGATCGGGTAAGATGGTCGGATCGACTGAATGATCGGATCATGGTATCGATCGATGGATCGGATCGATGGAATGACAATTCTATCAAGGAATGGGATGGACGGAGAGATCGATGACTTGATTGATGGTTCGGATCGATAGCTCGATTATGGGATCGATGGATCGTTCGTTCTATAAATCATATTGTCGAAAGAAGGACACGAAAAAGAAATAGATCGAAATCTCATATTGTCAATATGGAAGTATTGACGAATCCAAAGATAGACCGATAGAATGATATGGTTAACGGGAAGTTAATCGGGAAGGCGTATAAGGGAAAGGTGTTGAGGAAGCACGAGGATAAGTGCAACCGAACACACCCAAGGGTCGCCCATGGATATAATCTCCCGAGAAAGGGAGAAAGCACCGAGAATGGGTAAGGCACATGGTTCTCCATGTAAGGATCAAATATCGCGTCCGCCTTTATGAATCAAACGCCGCAGCCTTGGTGAAACCGATCGGGAATCGGTAAGACCAATGGTGACTCGACGGATAACCAACGGGAAAGTCAACGGTGAGAATCGTTGGATAAAATGGATGTTGGACCCGCGAGCAAACCAATGGCCGACAGACGAATGATTTCATGGGCTAGCCTACGATGATCCGATAAATGAATCCACGGACCCTTGGGTGTGATAATGATATTGTTCGGATCGCATGGATGGATCGATAAGCAGAAGGCTTTACCGACCACCATGGACCGGATGGGTAAACGGTTATTAAACCGTAGGCGGTCGTAGTGATAAACGACCGGATCGGAAACATGGATGGTTTGATAAGCCGAGGGCTTGATCGTCCACCATGAAACCGAAGGGGCGTATATTTGGAGGACGGATGGACCAATGAGCCGAGAGCTTGATTCGGCCACCGTGAACCAAGGGAAATGTACGATCCCCAATCTCTATCGTAGGGGCTTAGACCAGTGGGTTTGGTTGGATGTATGGCTAAGTAACGATAGAAATTGGTCCATCAATACACGATTGGTTAAGAATCGTTGTACGAATGGAATATGGAAACAAGAAGGCTAAGGGAAGGATCAATGGACGGATCGAGGAGGAATCGAATCCACATGTTGGCCAAGGTATGTAAACGAATCTAACTTATTCGTTAAGCTAGACGTTTAGGAATTGGCCGTTGATATTAGGATAACGGAATATGCAATCGTTAGACTTAGAATGGTTAGCGAACAAATTGCATGTCTTGACCGAATAAAGGTTCGATCTAAGTCTTAAGGACAAAGACGATAAAATCGGTATAAGGGTTGGTTGGAATTAAACCAAGGATAGAAAGACTTCCGCTGGGTAATAAGAAAGCGATTATAGAATTAAGCCTCGTAAAGGCAATTCTATTTAAATCGCGAAAAATATGGAGGTTCGTCCGGACGGAGGCACAAACGTGCGTCAATGGTCGCCGGACGCCAAGACGTCCAGGACGGGACGCTACAGACCACACCCTAAAATGGTCATTCCCGCAGATGGACTGAACAAGAACGGCGTATTGGGAGTGGACAAGATATGGAAGATGTCTATACACCAAGATATCAACTCCATATTGTAGAAATTCAACCATTCGTAAAATTTTCTGAACAAAATAGGAATATTTGTTGCTTCTGCTTAGTCTTATGAGCAACGCCACAATTAAATGAACATGGTGCACGAACACATGTGAGTGGCATCATGATCATTTGTAAACTAAACAAAATTTCAAGGCTAATGTGTCCACAAACATACAGATTTATACAAAGACATTCAGGCATTTCATCGAACAACTTGTGCTCACTATATAATTAATATCCAAACCAAATCCATGGATGCAAAATTTGAAATCAGAAAAGTGTGTCAAACAGATCCTAACTTCATACATGTAGTCAGATACCATGTTTCTTTCTTCATAGTGAATTTTAGACCAATCCTTTCAACAACCAAGAGTGAATGTGCTTGAACCTGACTTTAGCACAACTCCTTATGAGTTGCTTATTTCCTTATACCTGAAATCCAGTTTTGGCCCACGCTTAATTTCTTCGACACGAAGACAATTATTAACCCACAATAGATTTGATTCTCTCCTTGATTTAGGCTAGGTCACGATTATAAAACAATGAGAGAAAAACATTTAGGTCTAGAAATTTCCGTAGTTCCATCCAAGTTATAAGAATCTCTAAAGATAGAGATGATGAAGAGGACCGAGAGGAGAAGCATAATATATCTTCCGGAAGATTTGCTAGTCGAGATTCTTTCTAGAGTTCCGGCGAAATCTCTAGTACGATTACGATCAACATCGAAAAGATGGAACGCTCTTGTAAAAGATGGGAGATTTGCTAAGAAGCACTATGCTAATACTCCAAAGCACTCCTCTCTAGTTCTCATGGTAACTAATTTTAGGGTTTACTTAGTGAGCGTTGATTATCTCCATGGTAAAGTTACTGCCTCTGCAAAGATAACAAGTCAATTCAACTTACAAGATCATCTTTCGAAACAAATCGATGTATGTAACGCCTATCATTCCGACGGTTTACTTGTATGCATTACCAAAGACAATAGCCTTGTTGTTTGGAATCCGTGTTTAGGGCAAACCAGGTGGATCCAAGCCAGAAACAGCTACAATAAAAATGACTACTATGCTCTCGGTTACGATGACAAATCCTCCTGTTACAAAATATTGAGGATGCATCGAGTTGTCGATGATATCACCGTGGAAACTGAGTCCGAAGTCTATGACTTTGCTTCTAATTCGTGGAGGGATATTGGTTCGACTACCGAGTGGTTTATACAACAACATAGGAGTCGTGGCATGTATGTCAAGGGAACTACTTACTGGCTTGCGTTGATGAGTGAAGAGCCGCCATTTGATCATTTCTTACTAAGTTTTGATTTTTCAACAGAGAGATTTCAAAGTCTGTCTCTTCCATTGGATATTAATCATCAAACTCTTTTAGGTGCGGTTTTATCAGTGACTAAAGAAGAGCAAAAACTTTGTATGTTAGCTACCTATGGCTCTGATGAGAGATTCAAATCAGATGTATGGATAGCAACTAAGATGGAGAGTACCGGAGCCATGTCATGGAGCAAGTTCCGTTGTTTTCACTCTAGGATTTTTTATGAGTGTCTCGGTCGACCATGAGAACAAAGTTTTACTGTGTTGCAATAATCTACGGGTTTCCAACTACAACAACATCTTACATATTGCAGGAGAGGATAAATACGTACATTTGGATCATGATGAAGAGTCTAAACGCCCACTTCTCCTCACTTATGTCCCAAGTTTGGTTCAAATCCAACAAGGTATCTAGTCTTCTTGAAAGAGGATAGCTAGTGATTTATAATTGTCTCTCTACTTTATGTATTTTCTATCCAACTCTTGTTATTTTATCTATTTTATAAGATATCTCTATGTATTGCTAACTAATAATATATAGGGTAAATTGCATGTTATGGCAGTTGACCAAGTTTTAATTTCAAGTTTTGGCAAAGTGAGAATGGGCTTTCAAGTTTTGATATTTTGGCCAAAATCTGACCATTTTACCCCTACCAACGGACCGATGTACTGTTCACTGTACGGTTCAGTTAAGCGGTTCAGTTACGTACACTGTTCCGGTTAAGCAATATATTTCGTTCTTAATTGATTTGTGCGGGAGTACAGTGACAAGTTGGGATTAATAACATTAAAACACAATGAGACATCAGTATTTAATGCCCAAAAAGTTTAGACATGACTCATGTCACAATTAATGCAAAAGTCATCATTACTTTTTCTAATATTAGTTTATATGTGTGAATAGTTGTAAGAGACAAACATGATCCATCAAACAAACAAATTTTTCTGAACGAATGTGATTCTGCATCGGTTTGATCTTCTTGATTTACAAAGTTTGGAGCCAAGACAAGCATTGAACGTGTAAGTAATGAAATTGGTTAAGAACTTTTTTGTTTTAACACACTAGGGTCTTGATTGTGTGCTAAGATCAACATTGTTTTTATATAAAAACCCAGAATATTTTTATTTCCACTTTTTTTAGTTGAAATTGCTAAATGAGGATAGATTTATGTTTATAAGTGTGTAGTTGGGAATTCTTTTTGTTTTTTGTAGATATATTCATGCTTTCATTTGCATTTAATGGGGTTCTGCTGAATTTATGATGCATGTTGGTAATGGATATTCCCGTATTTACTATGGTGGGTGAGTGGAAATGCAAAGAAGAAGAATGGAAATTTGAACCATGGGAAGGCTGGTTTGGTCGTTGTGTACGTGTTAGGCAAAACATGACGTACACGGCATTTGTACGTACATTATGCGAGGTTTTCAGTTCGAAGTGCACAGAATGCAATCCAATAATTAGTTACTGGATGCCGGGAAAGATGTCAGTGATGATAGAAAGTAAACGCCCTCCTGTATACATTGACAATCAAATGAACCTGGATACATTCTTTTTGATTCGTGGTGGGGATCCTAGTGTCACCTTGTTTGTCTCTTTCATTACAACCGTCAAGGCACTCGAGAATACTGTCCCTAGGACCGATGGTGAGAGTTACCGTGTGTGTGGGAGTGCAACGACACCAAATCCCATCGTAGCGGCTTCAAATGTAGATGGAAATAATGAGGCCGTAGATGAGCAAGACGACGTTGAAGACGATAAAACAGATGAGGATGAAGAAGAGGAGGAGGACAACGAAGATGGTGCTGGGTATGATGATTATCAGGGTGATGATGGATCTATGGGGGGAAGTACCCTCGATCCTACTATAGACGGTAGTGAAGGCAGTGGCGAAGATTACGATTACAACAAGTGGAACGATTTAATTATTGAAGAATATGGAATAGGGAATGTTGAGGAGGACGTCATTCTCACTCAACAAACGGTTCAACATCCAGGGGAATTCAGTCGTCTATTGGCAGAGTGTACGTACACAAGTCATCGTGTACGTGGGGGAGATAACTCGGTTGACCGTACACCAACGGTGACTCCAAGACGTACGTGTCAACATGGTTTGTACCAATGTACGTACACAACAGAATGTGTACAAGATACAGGCTGCGAAGGTAACACCGATACCAATATTAATGGTATAGACGATGTCTCTAGGGATGATGTTATCGACCGTGGTATTGGAGATTCCCCAAGTGGGACACTGAATGATAATCGGCTAGTTACTGCACCTGGCGGAGATAACATTTCTCATTCGGGTGACCGTACACCAACGGTGACTCCAAGACGTACGTGTCAACATGGTTTGTACCAATGTACGTACACAACAGAATGTGTACAAGATACAGGCTGCGAAGGTAACACCGATACCAATATTAATGGTATAGACGATGTCTCTGGGGATGATGTTATCGACCGTGGTATTGGAGATTCCCCAAGTGGGACACTGAATGATAATCGGCTAGTTACTGCACCTGGCGGAGATAACATTTCTCATTCGGGTGACCGTACACCAACGGTGACTCCAAGACGTACGTGTCAACATGGTTTGTACCAATGTACGTATACTATAGAGTGTGTACAAGATACAGGCTGCGAAGGTAACACGGATACCAATATTAATGGTATATCCGAAGTCACTATCGACCGTGGTATTGGAGCTTCCGCAAGTGGGACACTGAATGATAATCCCCTAGGGTGCCCTCAATTACTAAGTCATCCACTTTACTCTCTGCAACTACATTGGGTACATCTCCCGCATCAACCTGTGGCAGTAGTTATCAACTTCATCGGCTATATACTCTATTTTGTGATGTCTGAAACAATCATTACTTATACGTACACGGGAAATAAGAAAGACAAATGTACGTACACTTACACCGGGTTCCTCGGTGTGTTCAGCCTGAGAAGATGTATCTCTATCATTATCCTCATAAATTTCTGGTTGCTCCCCAACATTTGCTTCACTCTCAAGACCGGCACCATGTTCTTCTCCCTGAAACAAATATACCATACACGTCTTAAGCTTTATGTGAGTACACATATGGAAAACTACATTTGACTATTAGCAGACCATATACCTGTCCAGATGTTGCAGGTAAACCTGATGGATTTTCTACCATCTCTGTGTCAGCAGTTGGTTTTTCATCTGTCCCTCGCTGTGTACCAACTACGACAGGCTCACCACCATCAATTGGTCCTTTATCCTAAAACATAGTATACCATACACTTCTTAAGCTATATGTACGTGGAGAACTGAAAATAATTGATAATGGTACACTTATGGAAAACAGTATGTGACTATTAGCACAAGACATACCTGTACAGAGGTTGAAGGTACAGGAGATGGAATTTCTTCCATCTCTGTGTCAGCACTAGCTTTTTCCTCGGTCCTTGACTGTGTACCAACAAGGACAGACTCACCACCATCACATGCTCTTTCATCCTGAAACATAGTATACCATACACTTCTGAAGCCTATGTGTACGTACACAACTGGAAATAATTGAAAAAAATATTTGTACACGACATACCTGATGGGAAGGTGTAGGTCCACCAACTGAAATGTTAGCTACTCCAGTGTCAACCATACCTTCGTCTCTGTTCGAAAAATCTCCTCCATCATTTACAGAAAAACCACCTTCATTGTTGGCTTCATCCTGTACCATAGCAGACAAGTTACAGTTATTAATCTTCATGTACGTACATTTAAAATACTATATATAAATGTACGTACATGCCATACCTGGTCATCTTCCTCAGAGGAAGAGTTACCATCAGAAAGCTGAGTAATCTCCGCAACTGACGTCATTATATTCTTCAGCCTTGAAGACTTTCTTGTTCCAGACTTGAAGACTTTCTTTGTAGACATCTTTTTAGATGCCTTCTTCACACTCATCGGTGCCTTAACCACCGATTTATTTGGGCCCTGTGAAGCATGGGAAGTTTTGGTTGGTTCTGTCTTTTTGACCTTTGGATCTAAGGCAGCACGAATCTCCTTACGGACAAATTTCTTCAAGTCTTCTTGCATTTGTTTATTTTGTGCTTCCTGCCTCTTGAAACACCTCCTAAGTTCAACTACAAACTTCTCAAACTGGGGATCTTCAGAACAATCCTCAGCAGTGTCCTCATTTTCTTCTTCCACAACAGATTTCTGTTTCTTCAAAGCAGGTGCATTCGGGGCTGGTACATTTCTTTTCCTCTTCTTCACACCTACGATAGACCAGTTTAATCATTGATTGGTCTTCAAGGGACAATAATCAGAAAGTATAAAAACAACATTTACACTCACGTATCTCTCCAAGTTGTGGTGGGCGCTCCTGCTTTGGAAATGCAGCATTACCTCCAACCCATTCTTCCTCCTTCCACTCATGACCAGCTAACAACAGTCGCTCAATGTAAGCAACTCTTGGATCCTCAACTTCATCATCCCATGACAGGGATGGAGGACAAATATTGTCCTCTGGTTTCACAAGATAGGTTACCTCAACCTACACCAATAAGTTTGTTAACCACTTAGAGAATGTACACTTACTTTTTAAATAATGTACGTACATAAACAATTGTACATACCTCTTCAGCAGCCTCACATTCCAAGATGCTGGATGTCCTGATTGCCCGCAGTGAGGCAAGATGATGGATAGACCTCTGAGTAAATGTCCTGTTAGCTTCATCATCAGGTACTAGCTTAGCAAGGGATGGGATTGTTTCGAACGCAAACAGCTGGAGTGCTAATGGGAATCCATGTAGTGCATAAGACCCATCCTTTACACACCTTATCAGTTTTTGAGCATCTGAAGGGGTTTGGAATTTTGCTATCCTCTCCAAAGTACGGGTAAAAGACACCCTTCCCCAAGGGTATTTGCAGAAGAATTGCACGTCCTTCGTCATCTCAACAGTGAACTTAGAAGGCCTTATGGGGTTATTATGGCACCCTATCACACCATCTACCAAGATTATAAGAGATAAGGCCAGCTGCTTCCACCCATCCATGGTTTCATCCTCCTTCAGCCAGACCACCAAATCATGCACTGTTGGATTCGGCTTCTCCCCAAACTTCTCCTCAAACAGAGTTTTCCAGACACTTTGACTCCCAGCTTTGACCTTTAGCACATCCGTCACGTCTTTCTTGTTGGGATATGTCCCACATTCTAGACCAGTTACCAGACTAAATTCTCTTAATCCGAATTTTATTGGATGACCGCCGAAGACCATCCACATCTCATTCACTTTACTCGTCACTAACTGACGACATATTAGTCCAAGAACAAGTTTACCTGAGAAGGAAGACTTGTTAGCAGGTTTCCTAAAAAGGTCCCCAAATGGAGACTCGAGAAGAAACTTCATCTCCTCTTTTCCCTTAAGAACTTGTGCTATGTCAGAAAGGTATTCCGGTTTGGAGTACGCGTTCATCTTCGTCTTGACAGGGTACCGGTCTAGGGCAAAGAGTCTAGGTGGTAACTCTTCAACTATAAGATCTTCAGTCGGAGCCACGCTTGTACTGCCTGCAATTACAAGTGATATACAATTAAGTACGGATGTATGAATTCGTGTACGTACACAGTAATTATCATCATTATATACTCAACATCTGAATTTTGGCGGAAACAGAGATTTCCAATTCAACTTCTCAAATTTTCAAACTACAGATATAGCAAAATCCGGCAACTTCTATCCCTTTAATCAAACAAGCTTTAAGATTCCGATACACCCAAAGAAACTACAAACGGAATAATATCGGAACTTACCCAATTCCTCCGGCGGATTTCTCGGAGGGAGTTTCCTCCTCGGGGATACTCTGAGTTCCACCTTGTCCTTCTCGGGGCCTTCCTGCGTATGCTTCTTCCTAGAGACTACGTCGTTTGGTTTATTCCCAGCCATCTCGAAGGTTGGTATCTCGCCGGATGTTTCTCAGGTCGCCTTCGCCGGAAAAACTGGAACTTTCTCTTCGCCGGTTTTTCGAGTTCAATGCAATGCCTCAAATCAAGTAGCAGACAATTCGAACGGAGATGTCGAAAACGAAGATGGATGAATGAATTCCGAACTGATTTCTACTTCTCTCTCGAATCTCTCGGAGATGTCGAACGAAGATGATGAATGTTCTTCTTCGTTTTCTTGAATTTTTTTTTTTTTTTTTTTTTTCAAGACAAAAAGTAACTAAACCGCTAATAGAAACTAAACCGTAACGTAACTGTGCCGTTTGGTTTTTCGTCAAGGGCATTTTCGTCATAAAACGGAATAATTGCCAAAACATGAGAAATGAATCTCACTTTGCCAAAAGGTGAGATCAAATTTTTTTTTTATGTCAAACGTGAAATTTTTTTTAATATATATTCCCAAACGATTCCAATTTTCGCAAGTGATTTGTTTATTTGAAATTGGATGAGGAGATAATGTGTTTATATCTCACTTGTTAAACGAGCATATTGATCATAAAATTCCTCTGGTCTCTTTTATAGCACTAAGACCCGATCCCATATTAAGTTTTCTTGGTGGGTGGTTAACAACTCCATTTTAACCGTTGGTAGGCCTCACATAGAAGTATCTTGAAACCGGTAAGATGGTTCTAGTTGACGAAACCGATCCAATTCAACCTGAATACAATGGTGAAACCCCGAGGGCGGCCTGAATGTTCAAACCTCTCAAATTGGTTATTGAGTGAAAGCTGGTTCATATTTTATGCTACTTTTCGAAAGTTCATATTCTGCATTCTATCTATCTTCTTTCTTGATGGGGATTTTGTTTATTTGTAAACTAAAAACACAAGCTATATAGAAAGTTTAAGTTTCAACACATCATTGGTCATATTTGAATCCATTTAATATCCATTGACCATTGGTCATATAGTTGAATCCATATATGGTGTTTTTAATTATATTTTTTAAGCGTAAAGATAAACTGCTATTTTACATAGAAGAAAGGACAAATTTACAAGTTCTGCATCATTAAAACCATAGATCAGATGTTTCAGTGCAACATAGATCAAATCAAGTCTATTGATTAGGAAATTTTCTAGGTCCCTGTAGGCCAAAACAGACTCCACCATGAAAAGATCTTTCCTCAAAATTGCAACATGATCATGAAGATATTCTCATAAGAACACATGGGAGTGGGTGCGAACGGATAATGATAAATTTTGGGGATATTGTAAAATATACATAATATATAAATCATTTGGAAACTCACAAAGGGCCTAAAACCCTAAAGCCCTAAAATTTTGGCTTCTATATATATAGGAAGAATCTTCATAGTCAATTCGCAACAAAATCTATTCTGGAGACTAGAACTCAAATTAGTATTGCTTATAAACTTGCAATGGAAACGATAATACTTCATGAAGTTAGCAAAGATATGCCTGCGACTTGTTGTATCTGTTTCGACCATGACTTGGAAGCTGAGCAGATGTTTTCTGTTTATTTATGCCGTCATCAATTCTGTGTGGAGTGCGTGAAACGATATATAGAAGTAAAGCTACTCGAGGGAGGTGTACTAAGATGTCCTCATTATCAATGCGAGTCTAAGCTAACTCTTAGAAGTTGTGACAATATTTTGACACATAAACAAAGAGACATGTGGGAACGAAGGAATAGAGAAGAATCAGTTCCTGTGACGGACAGAGTTTACTGCCCAAATCCAAGGTGCTCGGCTTTAATGTCGAAAGCCGAACTCTCCAAATCAATTAAAGAAGCTGGAGTTAAGAGACGTTGCGTCAAATGCTCTCAACCTTTCTGCATGAACTGCAAAGTGTTGTGGCATAATAACTTGTTGTGCGACGATTATATGAGATGGCATCTTACGGAAGATGATATGATGCTAAAAAATCTAGCAAATCATAATATGTGGCGTCAATGTGTAAATTGCCAACAGATGATCGAACGTTCAGAAGGATGCATCCATGTAACTTGCTGGTATCATCTATAATCACATTCTCTAGCTATTATAATTCTTTTGGAATATTTTTGATTATATTATTTGCGCAATTAACATTGTAATGGCCATGGTTGATGTATATATAGGTGCGGCTATTCGTTTTGCTACACATGTGGAGAAGAGTGGAAGCATGGAGGTTGCACTCATCGAAGAAATATGATTGCGGAAGATTGTGCAGTGTGTACATGTTGTAGTCTAGCCGGCTTAGGCTTTTTTGCCACTTTAATGACCCTTTGTACATGTCTTTTTCCCTAGAATAATAAAACAATGTTGATTACTCATGTTGCTTAAAGAAAAAAAATAAAAAGTGATCTCATTTTTTTTTTGTCATCATTTGGGTCGACGATAGTCTAAAATTTATGAAAACTTGTGTAGATTTCTTTGGAGGATATATGTCCGGCACTGAAACATGTTACAATTGATTCCAAAACCTAGTTCAGTTCCTTAGGAGCTTTGTCTTCAACCTGGGAAAGAAGAGTACAACACAAACATACATACTTTAGCTTACACAAACAATCAGTTAATTTGTGCGTCTGACAAAGAAGTGGAGAAAAAAATGTAAAGGATGGGAGTTTCGGTAGAGCAAAGTTCTTTGTGGATTTTCCGGAGATCTTCTCCGGCCAGACGTCGGATTCCTCCCAAGGATCTGAACTCGTTTATTCTTGCGTGTTTTTACATTTCAAGTTTGTTTTTTTTGACATTTTTTCCTTCTAATTTTATCATTTTATATTTCCATTTTACAGTACTTTATATGATTGATTTATTATAGGAATATCTTTTTGTTTACGGATTTGAACTAATTTATATTGCAATTTCTTTTAGTTTAAAATCTATCTACTTAATCCACATATTATTTAAATAATAATTTTTTGCTATTTTATTTAGAGAATCTAGAATAAGTTTTGAAATTTAATATTTGAAATGGTTAATTATTTTATATAAAGAAGAAAATTTGTAATTTTTATATCTTTAACTATAATAACTATTAACACTATACAAGGAATACTTTTATGACAATTTAATTTAGAGATTATACTTTTACAAATGTATATTTAAATACATTAACAATTAACGAAAAATAAGAATATAAAATTAAATCTTTAATATATCATTTCAATATAAAGTGATTTATCTAGTTTGAGTATTGCTTTTCCTTTTCATCATGATTCATGTACGAAAAAATCAGTATGGTCTTAAACTTCTCTGATTAATGTATAGGATGTCTTACGTACACAGACAATGCATATATATATATGGTACAGTATTCACATATTCTCTAATAAAAAAATTATACAATTACTTTCAAACTAATTACACTCACGCGCAACCGGATTTTATACGTTTATATATTCGACCTATTTAATCTTCTAATCATGTGTTTGGCTCGGTTCATCATCTAAACTCATAAATAAAGTTAAATTTGCAATGGAAACAAAAGATTGTGAAATCAGCTTACTTGTGGACCCTGAGACTTGTAGGATATGTTTCGATGATAATTTCAAAGCTGAGCAGATGTATTATGTTGCTTTATGCAATCATAAATTTTGTTTGGAATGCATGAAACGATTTATAGAAGACAAGCTTCTCGAGGGAACTGTACCGATATGTCCTTATTATCAATGTGAGTCTAAGCTGACTCTTAGAAGTTGTGTTCATTTTTTGACATCTAAACTAAAAGCGATGTGGGAACAACGGATTGAAGAGGAATCGGTTCCAGTAACGGAGAGATTTTATTGCCCGAACCCGAGGTGCTCGGCTTTAATGTCGAAAACCAAGCTCTCTAAATTTATTGAAGAAGATGGATCTATGAGATGCTTCCAATGCGGGGAGCGCTTTTGCATGAACTGCAAAGTTTTGTGGCATAGTAGTTTGTCGTGTGACGATTACAAGGTTTTGGGTAATAATCCTACATCAGATGATAAGATGCTAAAAGTTCTTGCAAATGAGAATCTGTGGCGTCAATGTGAAAAGTGCCAACACATGATCGAACTTTCGGAAGGATGCATCCATGTAACTTGCAGGTATCCTCTACTATATAATCCATTCAAATTTAATTTCAATTTTGCCTAATTAACATTATATTATGCATGGTTGATGGATAGATGTGGATATTCGTTTTGCTACACATGTGGAGCTGAATGGAAGCATGGAGGTTGCCCTCATCGACAAAGGATGCTTGTAGATTGTGGTATTTGTACTCTTTTCTTAGGTTGTCTTGTCTATTTAATAATTTTTTGTGTTAAATTTTTCATAAAATAATAAAACAATCGTTTTCTAGATTGTTTCATGATGATAATGAACAAAACAGCTATCTATATATACATACATTTTTGGAGTATCTTTAGCAAATAAATCCTGAAGTTCCACCTTATTTACGAGTCAATGCCATTGACATTTATTATTTAGTTTTACAAAATTTAAATAAAAGATATTAACCAAACGATATCTTGCCTAATTTGTTTCTACAAATCTCTACACAATCTTGTCATATATCTTCAAAAATTTTTTTTGTGAATTTTACTCCACAAAATATGCATAAAACCGATTCAGCAAATATTTATATCAACATTTTGCATAACAATAAAATTACTAATTTATAATAATCAAAATATTCACATAGAAAAATTATATAATTTATATGATAAATTTAAAATATATATTAGTAGTATAAATTTAAAATCATTCAAGGAATGGTATACCACGGGTGAGATCATAAAATTGTTAGATTATATAATAATAATAATTTATTATCTTGGATTTTATAACACTAATAATTTAGCTAACGGAATAATATAGACGGGTTTATATAGGATGACGGGTTTGGGTCGATATTAATAAAAAACGGTATATCACAGATAAAATCCTAAAATTAACAATCAAAATACAATTATACAACCTTAAACACAAAACAAAACATACAATATTAACAAAACAAATACAACTTAAAATTTTAAAAAATTAGTTATACAAGTATCGACCAACGGTATACTGCGGAGTAAAATATTCAAAATTTTAAAATTGACCATACATCGTTACTTAAAAAATGTATGTTTTCGTATCTATACTTCAAAAATTGAAACCTAAACAATAGTAATCATACACTAAATAATACATAAATAGATATTTACATTTGAAAATACAAACTATTATGATATATCTTCAGTTAATCTTTTAAAAAATAATATTACATTTTTTTAAAAAAATATACCCCACGGTGTACCGCGGGTTAAATTCTAGTCTATATATACATTTTTGGAGACATTTATGAAATAAATCCTGGAGTTCCAACTTATTTACGATCAAATGTCATTAACATTAATTATTTACATTTTAAAAATTAAATCAAAGATATTAACATAAAAATCATTTCCAAAAATCTTAACCTAATATATTAAGCATAACTAATCCTTGCTACAATTACAGTTCGATTTCCTTAAAAGATCTCAACAATCCCTTTATTTAATCGTTTCCATTCAAATCTTAATCCGGTTTTTAATCTTCAATCTTGACTGTCGGTTATACGCAATTAATTCAGAAATCGTTATATAGAATTCATTATTATTAACTAAAATTTAAAAAAATATATAAAAAATCAAACTTTTAAATTTATTCGAATTATATGTCTATTAAATAAAATATTATTAAAAATAACAAAATGATGTTTAATTTCACGGGATGCGGTTATATAGTGGGACGGGTTTAGATCGATATTAATACGGGACGGTATTAATATCACGGATGAAATCTTAAAATTAACAATCAAAATACAATTATACAATCTTAAACACTTAACAAAATAAACAATATTAAAAAATACAATTTAAAATTTAATTTTTTAGTTAAAAAATCGACTCGCGGTGTACCGTGGAATAAAATCTAGTATAAATATATAACCATAACAAAAAAGAGAAAAAAAATCGTAGGAAGTGTAGTTAGATGAAACTTAACTATCTTTGTTTCATAACTTAATCATCGTTGGTTCTATTATTTGTTGTCTGATTGGTAACTAGCTCCAATATGTTATTTTAGAAGTACCAAATTGTGTTCATAACAAAAAAGATATTACACAAAACAACAAGTGAGGCACTCCTATAGAATTAAAAACTGAACTCAGTACCAAATTATCATTAATATCATCACTCCTATATATCGGAACTTGATGGACAAGAAGACTGAACTATGAATTACAATTCAAGTTATAAATCCTAAACATATTTTCATGAAATTAAAGGACTCTTACATAATTCACAACACCGTTTTATGCAACGAACTCAAAATTTCGAATGTCACGCAATTCTAAAATGATTTTTTAAAAAAATGGGAAAATTGGAACTAAGGGATAAATATTTAAGTATTTGTCCATATATGAATTCTATGAACAAATATCAACTATTCCTAAACTACCCCTTGCATAAGATTGAACCAATTGTTTCAAAAATAATTAAGAAAAATATGTATTAAAATGATAAAAAAGACATGAAGATATATAAAATTTCAAAAATATATTGTTTTGTTTTCGTTTTAGATGGATAAAATTTGATCTATAAAGTTTAGAATATGTCTTCTGAAATTAGAATGTATATTCTATACACTCTACATGTTCTACAAAATTTAGATTATGTATTCTACACACTCTACATGTTCTACAAAATTTAGAAGTCATTTCTGTTCTACGGTATTTAGAATACTAGTTTCTACAGCTTTTAGAATACATATTCTATACTTTGTTCTTTGTTCTACAAAAATTAGAATATGTTTTCTAATATTTACTCATGTTCTAAGAATGTTAGAAAACATATTCTTAAGATTTTTTTTATTCTATAAAAATTAGAAAGTACATTCTATCTAATTTAGATTTTAAAAAACAATATCTTAAAATATGGAAATTGAATATAGTGAATTTGATTACATCTGCAAATTACAGAAGTTGAATTCTGAATACTTTAAAATTCTTTATACCTAAGTGAATAAATTATAACACTAATTAGAATTTTTCTTTATACTTCACACTTTTTCCTATAGATTACGCTTAATTTCTTGTCTCAAAACCCGGAAAATTAGTTGAATTTTGAATACTTTAAAATTCTTTATACCTAAGTGAATAAATTATAACACAAATTAGAATTTTTCTTTATACTTAACACTTTTTCCTATAGATTACGCTTAATTTCTTGTTTCAAAACCCGAAAAATTATAGTTGCGCTCCATAAAGAAATTGAAATCAAGGGAGTGAGATAGAGAGAGAGATTGAAGAAGAAGAAGAAAAAAAAATTATTTAATATGGCGTTATTAGAGAGGAGAGAACAATTACGAAAGCTTAACTTTGATGAGCAAGAGAATCAAAGAAGAAGAAGATATGAAATTATCTACGGCAAAACAAATAATGGAATGTAAATATATGTTGATTTTGTCCTATATTTTTTCCAAATTGTTTTTAGAAAGAAATCAATTTAATTTTGAATTTTTTTAATAGTTTAGTAAGATTTTAAAAGACTGGGGGCATATTGGGATTTTAATTATATGAAATCATATATGACCAATATTAAAGTATATATGACCAATCATGAATATAGAATGCATAGATGAACAATAGTTTAATTATTTGTCTTTTATTTCCAATTTTCCCAAAAAAAATACCCTATATTTTCGGGATATTATTAACTAGAATCATTATACAAACTAGGTTATGAACCCCGCGATATCGCGGGGGAACTCATTTTCAACAAATATATTTTATTACGTTTATGTATTAAATTATTATTATAATATATTAAAATAATTGAATTATTATATAAAATTAACTATGTCATAAAGTTATATCGTAAATATTTTCTAAAGATATTAAAAAAATTTATGAATAAAAATGTAAAAAAACAAATTATGATTAAAAAACACTTTTGAAACATTTTTTGTGAATATAAAATTATTTATAAGTGACAAAATAACTAACGAAGAGTTATAATATAGAGAGGAAAAATTCTAGCGGGTCAAAACCAAAAAGATATAAAAACACAACCAGAAAAATAACCGTCAATATTTTAACGAAGAGTTGCGATAAAAAGACATAACCGAAAAAAAATAACCGTCGATATTTTAACGGAAAGTTGCGATAAAAAATACAACCGAGAAAAAATAACCATCAATATTTTAACGAAAAGTTGCGATAAAAAGACACAACAAAAAAAGTAAATGTCAACATTTTTACGAAAACTTATGATAAAAAGAAACATCAGAAAAAATAACTGTCAACGAAAAATATAACCGTAAATATTTTAACGAAGAGTTGCGATAAAAAGACACAACCGAGAAAAAATAACAGTCAATATTTAAACGAAAAATTACGATAAAAAGACACAAAAGGAAAAAAATAACCGTCAATATTTTAATGAAGAGTTGCGATAAAAAGACACAACCGAGAAAAATACCCGTCAATATTTTAACAGAAAGTTGCGATAGAAAGACACAACCGAGAAAAAGAAACCGTCGATATTTTAACGGAAAGATACGATAAAAAGACAAAAACAAAAAAAGAAACCGACAATATTTTAACTGAAAGTTACGATAAAAAGACACAACCGAAAAAATAACCATCAATGAAAAATTGTAACCGTAAATATTTGAACAAGAGCTAGGACAAAAAGATACAACCGAAAAAATATAACCGTTAATATTTTAACGAAAAGTTGCGATAAAAAGACACAAACGAGAAAAGTTATGTTAATATTTTAACGGAAAATTGCGATAAAAAGACACAACCAAAAAAATAATCGTCAACAAAAAAAAGAACCGTCAATATTATAACGAAGAGTTGCGATAAAAAGACACAACCGAGAAAAAATAACCGTCAAACTTTTAACGGAAAGTTGCGATAGAAAGACACAAAAAAAAAATGACCGTCAATATTTTAACGTAAAGCTACGATAAAAAGACACAACCGAAAAAATAACTGTCAACGAAAAAAGTAACCGTCAATATTTTAACGAAGAGTTGCGATAAAAAGATACAACCGAGTAAAAAATAACTGTTTTAGCAAAAAAATGCGATAAAAAGACACAACCGAGAAAAAAATAACCGTCAATATTTTAAAAGACAAAAAAAGACACAATCGAGAAAAAAATATCGTCAATATTTTAACAAAAAGTTATGATAAAAAACAGAAACGAAAAAAGTAACCGTCAATATTTTAACGGAAAGTTGCGAGAAAAAAACACAACAAAAAAAATAACCGTCAACGAAAAAAGTAACCGTTAATATTTTAACAAAAAGTTGCGAGAAAAAA